TCTCTGTCTCTCTCTCTCTCCCCCCTCTTATTCTCTCGTCTTCTTGCTTGCTGTTTATTGCTTATTCCCCTTTCAGGTGTTCTTTTGCCCAGCTTACCTTTGTGGATCTTCCACATGCTGACTGTTTTTTGGTGTGTGTCTCAAACTTCTCTGCTCTTGTTCTCCGTTTACATGCCGACTGTTTTGTGGTATTTAAGGCAGAGGAGTTCGAGTGCAGAGTTCTAAGTATTGGCCCACCACCTGGGGATGTGGCTGAGATGGAAGCCTTTTGCCGCATTCATAGGCTTGCAGAGGAGCTTCACGAGGTGGTCATGCAGGCCCTTCGTAACCATGCGCGGGCAAAGAATGAGCGCAATCAGCAGACGAAAAATTCAAGAGCTGGCAGAAAAGCAGCAGTGCAGAAGCCAGGTGTTCTCCCTGGGTCTAAGGTGACACAGAATACTGAGGTAGAGAGGGTGAAGGGAGCAAATGCAGAGGGAGCAATGGAGGAGGAAGGAGATGTGCCGGAGTGGGAAGAAAAGGTCGTTGCTAGTTTGGCTCGCATGGCAACAGTGTTGCATGAGGGTCGGGCTCAACTTTACAGTGCTGCAGCAGCGGCGGCAGCAGCAGCAGCAGAGGTTTCTCCGGCGACCTCAAGGTTGGAGGGTGCTGGTCGAGCGGCAGGTGCAAAGGCACCCACAGTGAGTGCCCTTGGTCAGCTGCGCGATGAAATCAGGAGGTGTACCATAAACATTAAGGGGAGTGTAGATGGGGTGTTGCTGCCAGGTCGGGAACTGACCAATGTGTACAGAGCTTTGGAGCGGCTTCGTAACCTCTGCCTGGATGCCGGGTTTGCAAGATCCCTGAGGGCACCGTCGCCTGTAGACATTCCCAATTTTGCACGTGTGACCCGTGGCAAGGATGATGGGGGTGCGTGGACATCAACTGGTGATTGGTTAGGGCTGTTAGATTCCGCACTCTTTTGCAGGGGTGGTCAACTGACAGACGAGGGGGTAGAGTGGTTGGTCTGCAATGGGTTCAAAGCCATAATAGATCTTCGGGCCGAAGATCGGGACAATCAGCTGGTCAAGCCGGTAGATTTAGAGATGAGAATCCCAGTTATACACATGCCTGTGGATTTAGGAGGGGTGCCAACTGCCTCTCAGGTCCAGGAATTTGCACGAATTGCTGATGACCCGGACTATCGTCCGTTCTATGTGCACAGCACAAGGGGTTTGGGAAGGGCATGTGCATTGATTGCTCGCTGGAAGCAGACTGTGCTGGTTGAGACAATGAGACGAGGAACGATATCATCTCATGGGCAAGCTTCAAGGAATGACATCTCCGCGTCCGAGGCGGAGACAACGAGACGAGGAACGAGGTCATTTCAAGGGCAAGCTTCAAGGAAAGACATCGCCGTGCGTGAACCCTCAATGACCAGTGGTGCTCGCGAACCCAATTTGCAGAGCCCTGGCGCGGCTTCTGCCCAGCTTGGCAACAGTCAGGGAGATTTGACGTCTGAGCAGGTCGTCAATGTAGCGAATGGTACTGCAACAATGGTGTCAAACACTGACTCTGATCTGGAGAAGAAGGAAGCAGAAGGTGGTCAAAGATCTGTTGGAAGAGAAACGTCTGATTCCAGTGGAAAGGCACAAACAGTGGATGCTGCTGGTAGTAGTCTTGGAAAGTCCGCGAAGGTCCCAGAATCTGCAAATGGGGCATTAAAAGGGACTGGTTTGTTGCTGAGAGAGGAAAACGGGACAGCATCTGCTGGAGTGGAGAGTGGAGGCCATGATCTGGGGAAAGCAGCAAGTCCACAGGTTGTGGCTGGCGTAGCAGTTCATGATAGTAACCAAAACTCACCACAGCAGGCCGCTGTGGAGAGGCAGGGGGCTGGAGAATTGTCGCAGAGTTCGCTGTCAAATGCAGTGGTGAGGGATGAAGAGCGTGCTTCCCGGGGGACAGTCTCTCCAGAGGTTGATTCGGCTGGCATTAGGCCTCAAAACTCGGAGCAGGGAGGGGAAGAGGAGAGCGAGGATGGTGTGTTTTTCATGAAGGGGTCTGTGCTTGAAGCGCAGAGGCCCGGACCAGGGATATTGTCAAGGGAGGGGATGTCCATGTTCTTGAATAGGAAGAAGGTTATCCCGAACAGTATGATTGCGAGTGCAAACAGAGGCAGAGGAAGGATATCCCAAGTGACAACTGTAGTGGTCAAAGGTGATGAACAATCCATTGCAGGTGCGGCAGGACGGTGGGGCCGTGTTAAAGAGGGGATTCCAAGGGCAGGATCTGGGAGCTCGAGCTCTGAGGCTGGTAGCAATGAAGACAAGAAGATTCCTGTGCCTAGCGCTCGTACGTCTGCTGTGTACAGTTCAGGCACAGATGAGCTTCAAACCAGTAAGAATGGTGCAATGAGAGAAGCTGGAAGCACACCGTCACCGCCAAACGGGCGAACGAACAGATACCGTGGGCGGTCCACATTTTCGCAGGAAGTAGAATCCCCTCGGCAGTTTGGAAGGTATGCAGATGTGGCTGAAGGGGGAGAGATTTCTGTGGGAGACCTGTCTGGGCCTGGGGAGGACGTAGAACTGGTTGGACAAGGACCTGGGGAGGACGTGGGATTGGTTGCACAAAGACCTGGGGAGGACGTGGAGTTGGCGGGAGGAGGGTCTGGGGAGGACGATAAGTTGGCTGTGAAAGATTCAAGTGGCTCTCTAGCTGAACGTGAGAGGGATACTTCGACTACAGAGAAGGAGATTGGGAAGGTGATGACCAACGATGATGAACAAACTGTGGTGGAAGAGGTGGTCATGATTGAAGGGGATATGTGTTCTTCAACTACAGGTGTTGTGCGTTTGCAATCCAGGAAGAAGGCGGAGATGTATCTTGTGAGGACGGATGGCTTTTCTTGCACAAGGGAGAGGGTGAGAGAATCAACACTGGCATTCACGCATCCGAGCACACAGCAGCAGATGCTAATGTGGAAGACGCCCCCACAGACGGTGTTGTTGCTCAAGAAACTTGGGGATGAGCTCATGGAGGAGGCCATGGAGGTAAGGTATATACAGACTTGCTTATTTCTTTTTATGGACGAGGAAAAGAACAACCCTCGCGGAAACGTGAGAATTCCAAGACGTTCTGAACCTCGGATCCAATCTCGAATGCACTTCTAACTTAACTTTCTAAGCCTGACAGCCGCAGACACTGGCACTTATAGTAAACAGTTCCGAAGTCATTAAGTGTGATGTGAATGTGAAGGCCAATTCTCCAGTGCGGTTCCAATCTGTTTGACACTTCTCATGTTATGATGTCAGCAGGAGGCCTGCCTTCCCGTTGAAGGAGTGTCTCATAACACCAAGCAGCAGTCAAATTACATAAATGTTATGATCCTGGCCAATTTCGAAGTACACATTCATCAGAAAGTACTATGCCGTCCAATTGCAAAAAAGAAATGAATGAACTTGAGAGGAGAGAGAGGGAAAGAAGAAGAAGGAGAAGATGAAAGAAAGAAGAAGAAGAAGATGTACACCAGCAAAGACCAATGAGAATTCCTTTCTTCTTCGCCAACCACTCTCCTCTTCCTTATCTCCTCCCCTCTTATTCAAACAAGAAATAATAATAATAATAATAATAGTAATAATAATAATAATAATAATAATAATAATAATAATAATAATAATAATAAAAATAAAATAATAATAATAATAATAATAATAATGTTGAATGGCTGAATTAGAATCAATGTCCGAATCCCTCTTTTACTGCAGGCATCACATGAGGTCCACCATAGTCATGGCCACCCTTCTTGCTCCTTCCACGGCTGAGGCTATGGCGGACTACCAGGGCACCACCCTGCTGTGCAAAAGACAACACAGCAGCTATGGCTTCTCTAGCTCAGGCCGCCATGCCTGACTCTGCGTGGAAGCTTCTTGGTGTAGCTCTACCCCAACAGGGCCTTCCGGATGCAGCGCCCACCAAGGTGATGAAGATGGCATCCACCATAGCCAGGTAAGTGCCTCTGGCGCTCCGCCCTCCTGGTCTTCTTCCTCCTCCTGTCCTTGCTCCTCCCCAGCAGCGCTGCTCCTGATGCTTAGCGCTGCTCCAGCCAGCGTTCCAACCAGTGTGTCGCCAAACTTGCACACCGATAATGAGGAAGAGCATTTTGCTCCTCCTCGAGATATAGCGGCCTGCCTGTTGTGTGTGGGATCACTCCCTCTCACCCTTCAGTGTGTTAATATATACATCTACATTGAATCTAGAGGGGCTACAGTTGCAAGACTTTCAGATGTGCCACCCCGACAGGGAGAATCCCAGAGACCTGCAAATCAAATCCCAACATTGACCTTGACCTCAGAGCCCACTTCCCCTCCCTAGAGTTAGTGCCATGTTCAAATCAGCAAATCTGGGAACATGCTGCACGCCCAGAGCTTCCCAATGTGACAAGCACTGGGGTTCGAGGAGGAGGAGGAAGGGTGAGAGGGAGTGATCCCACACACTTGACCAGGCTCGGGCGAATAACTCGACTGATACGATGAGGACGCTCAGAGAAGAGTACCAGCAGCAACTCAATGTCGAACTCAGACTCCAATGTCTGAAACAGAACACAGCATAAGATGTCTCACCAATACGTGATGAGGCCGGTACATATACCTGGGAACAACCTAATGGCTAGGCTGGGCTCAGGGGTATAACACATTGAATCTAGAGGGGCTACAGTTGCAAGAGCTTCAGATGTGCCACCCCGACAGGGAGAATCCCAGAGACCTGCAAATCAAATCCCGACATTGACCTTGGCCTCGACCTCGACCTCAGGGCCCAGACGGCTGCGTTCCTCCTCGCCACCCCCATCTCCTCCACGATCTCACTTGCGAACAGACTCTCTGGTTTCCATTGTTCCCATTGTTCCACCTTCGTTGTTAGGGACATGTTCATCTTCTGTTTGCAACACCACTACTCCCCTTATTGTGTATCATCGACGACATCCGCGGCATCGTCACTTGTCCGGGGATCAGCAGCCTGTTTCTTTGTCTGGCCCAATTCTCTCTGTGCCTGCTCCACACGTTGACCAGCATCATTTGGACGAACCACAAATCTGTGCCCGTCCACGCGCAGGCCACATGGGTGATCTGCAGATGACTGACCAGCAAACAACCCAATACATTTTGGGCTTGCAACACCAGCTGGGTGATCTGCAAATCGTTGGCCAGCATCCGGCACACCAGCCTGAGACCCTCACCGATCTCTGTGGTCCGACTGCAACTAAGATCTGCCTTCACATTCTCCACCGCCCGTTTTATACACCATCAGACTTCCTTGCTATCGCGCTTTCAGCTTGATGCTGATCTCCCCCATGTACCACCAGAGGATTGTAATTATACCAGGGAAATAGGCTTTACCATTGCTGTCCTGCAAGTAGCAATGAGGGACCGCCAACTTGAACTGCAATGCTGGAGCAGGTGAGTGATTTAATCCTCCATCCCACATCTCTGCCTGCATTGTGCACAGACCTGGCCATTACATGGCCATCGTAGCTGCCTCTGACCAGTGGGAGCTGTGGGACATCGACATCATGGTCCATGCCATGACTGATCTTACTGATTTCTTACATAATGATGCTGTTTTCTTGCCTCACCAAACTGTCCGCAATCTCTTTTATGTCGACGATCATCATTCCTCTGGCCCCGTGCTCCAGCAGGACAATGTACCAACACTCTGCGACCTTCTCCTTTGCATAGCTATAGACACTGTTACACTTGGCTGTAGCTGCCATCGTCTCTGTCACAATCACTACAATCAGATGGTTTCTGCATCCATGTGTGTAGAGGACTTTCCCTCCGTTCCTGACTGCAGGCACCCTCCACATCTGGACACTATATGTCCATTTTGCGGCCATGGGCGCTGTACTAAATGCATGGTCTTCTGTGGTGAGCATTCCTCCTTCATTTGGGCCTGCAATCGACATGGCATTTGTCGGGAGTGTATGGTGGGCATGCTCAATGCCAGCCGTCGTGGCAATTGTTGTGCTGATAGTGTTCAGCTAGGCCTTCCATGTGCTCACCCACCTCATCCTTACAATGCGTGTCCTCTTTGTCTTCAAGGACAGACTCTTGAGCTTTTCTTATCCTCTCCTTTGCCTTCATCTTCATTTCCCACTCTGTACTTTCCGTTACTTTCCTTTTTGTTTTTTTGTGTCTTCTCTTCATCTCTCTTCCCTGTGCTTATCACCTTCCCCTTTACTCTGCCTCTTTCTCACAGTGTACAAGTGGGTCGTTATGGCACACGGAGATGCGGGCAGCTCGCACTCAACTTCATCAACGTGGCGAGCCTTGTATGTGAGAGGCATATTGAAGGGGGAGTTAAAAAAAGAATGATAAAAATAAATGGTTTCATTGTCCCTCATGATTGTTTTGCTTTTTAATCCTTGCCTTTCGTTTTGCAAAGTGCGCTCTTGTAGTTCGTAGTTATGTGACAATATATATATATTTGACGGTATATGACGATATATGTTGTATGGATCCGTCTTTTAACTATGGTTATGGCAGAATTTGTTTCGGTATCTTTGGCACCCTTGTCTGCATCCCGGTTGGTTTCGTGCCGTTGTTCGGCTTACGGTAGGGTGTCCGTGGCGGTGATTTCATGTGGGACCTGTCATCCGGGTTTTTTAATCCTTTTGGCATCCTAGTTGTCCGGCCTTGGTGCGATGGAGCAGTGCTTTTTTGTGGGAATCATCATCTGGGATTGTCTTTTTTGTTTTTTTTTTTGTTGTTGGTGGCGTCCCAGTATTTTAGTTTGGAACAGCGAAGCAGTAGAAAGATTAAAACCGATACCAGTTTTTGCAACAAATAACAACCGCAAAGGATTCTTGGAGTTGACGCAGAGTCACTGGTGAGTACGAAAGGTTTGTTATTTGGGATTACTTGTTTGCAGGCAAGGTGTTTTGATATCCTGGTTGGTCTCGACGGAGGGGGCGGTGCTTGCATGTGGGACTTGTCATCCAGGATTTGTTTATGTTTGTTTGAATTTGTTCTGGTAACTTTGTCTGCGTCCCGGTTGGTTGTTTCCCGTTGTTCGGCCTGTGCATTTGGAGGCGGTGCTTTTATGTGGGAATTGTCATCTGGGATTGTGTTTTTTGTTTTGTTGGACATCCTTCAGCACTTTTTTTTGCAGGCAAGGTGTTTTGATATCCTGGTTGGTCTTGTCCCGTCGTTTGGCCTGTGACGTGGGGGCGGTGCTTGGATGTGGGACTTGTCATCTAGGATTTGTTTCCCCCTGTTTTGTTGTGTACGGCTGTTTCCTTCCTGTTTTCTTTGCCTCTTTGCCCTTTGGCTGTGTGCTAGTGGGTCGATATGACAGACGGGGGTGGGGACAGCCGCCGCTCAACCTACATCCACGTGGGCGGCCTTGTACGCAAGAGGCTTTGAACAGGGGGAGTTGTAAGTAAGAATGTGAAAAATGAATTGATTTTTTCTTGTTTTTTTATTCGCTTTTGCGCTCTGACATCTTTGGCACTCATTCGTGCAGCTGCCCAGTGGGAACTGTGGGATGGTGGGACGATGAGTCCGGCTATTTTTGACGTAAATGAATTTTTGGGTGCATTGTCGAATCATACTTTATTCTGGATTATTGACCGACTCTCGTGTGACACCTGTCGGGACAGAGATGCGGTGTGCCTTGGCTGTGGAATGCATCATCTATGCCATAGCCATTACCAATCTATTGCGACTGCCGCCGTCTGTACTGAAGGGTGTCCAACATTTCCTCATTGTACACATCCCTGTCACCCAGATATACGTTGTCCCTTTTGTGCCCAAGGACGCTATCAGAACTGCATGATGCCGCACTGTGATGAACGTCCTGCTGTTTTTTTGACATGTGGACAACGTGTCCTCTGTCAGGACTGTTTTGATGGGATGGTTTGTGCTAGCCGTCCTGCTGAATGCTGTGCTGGCGCAGCTCTCCTTGGGTATCCTTGTGAACATCCACATCATCCTCACCGTAGCTGTCCTATCTGCCGAGGTGGGGACAGATGAAGCCTTCGACACTACTGACAGAT